GACTTTGCTTTGACATATGGTCTGACACAACTAGTTATCTCGCCTACGCGGATCACAGATGTAGAACATCATGTACCTTACTTGTTGGTACCTTCTGCTGACCTCTCATCTGGACGCATATCAGGTTTCCGTCGATGGGTCATCAGATTTGATAAACCACAAATCCTCGCAAAAGAACACCGATTCCTACCAAGGATGATACGCGAGGCTATTGAAACTAAAAAACATCCTAATTTCAATAGAGAAGATGGATGGGTGCTGCCATCTGCTTGGGCTCCGATAATTAACAAAATTAAACCCAAATCCAAGCATACCACTGCAAGACTTCAATATACTGTAAGCTTGTTTTGCGTCATCATCATCATCATTACAGCCCTTCACAAGTCCACTGCTGAACATAGGCCTCCCCCAAGTAATGCCACAAAGCACGGTCCTGAGCCACCTGCATCCATCGACTTCCTGCATATCTTACCAGGTCGTCACTCCATCTAGTGGGGAGTCGCCCTACACTACGCCTACCGGTACGAGGCTGCCACTCGAGAACCTTTCTTCCCCATCAGTTATCGGTTCTTCGAGCTATATGGCCGGCCCATTGCCACTTCAGCTTACTAATCCGTTGGGCTATGTCGGTCACTCTGGTTTTACTGCGGATATCCTCATTTCTGAGTCTATCACTCAGAGAAACTCCGAGCATAGCCCTCTCCATAGCTCGCTGAGCGACCTTGAGCGTCCTCATACGGCCAGCAGTGAAGGACCACGTCTCTGATCCGTAAGTCATCACTGGCAATACGCACTGGTTGTACACTTTAGTTTTCAGAGATTGAGGTATACCTGACGAGAAGATGTGTCGTAATTTCCCGAACGCTGCCCAGCCGAGTTGAATCCATCGATTGACCTCTCGGTCGAAGTTGGACTTACATAGTCGGACTATTTGTCCCAGGTAAACGTACTCGTCAACAACTTCGAGCATAGTGCTCCCAACAACTACCGGCATAGGTGTGACATGGACATTAAACATGACCTTGGTTTTGTCCATGTTCATCTTAAGACCTATCCGTTGGGAGGCACTATTGAGGTCATTGAGCATAGTGCTTAAGTCCTCCAGCGATTCTGCCATAAGGACTATATCGTCGGCAAATCGAAGGTGAGTGATGTACTCGCCATTGATGTTAATACCGTATCCTTTCCAGTCCAGTAGCTTGAAAACGTCTTCCAAAGCAGTGGTGAAGAGTTTCGGGGATATAACGTCACCCTGTCTTACACCTCTCTACAGTTGGATAGGTTTCGAGCTCTGGTTCTGTATTCGGATAGCCATCGTAGCCCTACTGTACAAACACTTCAGCACTTCGATATACCGACAGTCAACTTGGCACCACTGAAGGGACTGCAGCACCGCCCAAATTTCGACGGAATCAAAGGCTTTCTCATAGTCCACATACGCCAGGCAAAGTGGCAAATTGTACTCTTCAGTCTTCTGTACAATCTGCCGCAGGGTATGTATGTGGTCTATGGTACTGAAGCCTTTTCGGAAACCGGCTTGTTCGAGAGGCTGGAAGTCGTCGAGTCTGCGTGCGAGACGATTCGTAATGACTCTCAAAAACAGCACGTAGACGCGGCTCAGAAGGGAAATCGGTCTGTAGTTCTTCAAGAGAGCGTTGTCGCCTTTCTTAAAGAACAAGACCACCGCACTTCTGCTCCACGCTTCTGGAGTAGTGCAACCATGGAGGACGGAATTGATGAGCTTCTGAAAGACTTCAAGTACCGGTGTTCCACCCGCTTTCAGAAGCTCCTCTGTAATTTCATCCTCGCCTGGGGCCCTGCCGTTTTTAAAGTGCTGGAGAGCCATTCTAATCTCGCTTAGACTGACGTCCGGGATATCATCGGAATAGTGTCGGATAAGACTTGCTCTTGGATCGTTACTCACACTTGCGTGTGGCTCCAACGATGATGTGTACAGCTGCCCATAGAACCTCTCAATCTCACTCAAAATCTCAGGTGTCCCGGAAACGATGCTGTTTTGCGTAGATCGGATCGAAAAATTAATATTAAAAAACTGAAGGTAGCCAGGCTAACAATGACATTGGGACCTCAAACATCTCAGTCCCCCCGTGACCATGGGTGCTGTAAAGCACCCAAAACGTCGGGAATTAAAAATAAGTAAAAGTTGTTAATAAAAAATAAAATAATAAGTAAAACGCGATATAATCCGTAAATTTAGTTTTATTCAATGTGTAGTGTTCGCGTAAATTTAAAAAATCATTAAGTTAAGTGGACCTGATGGCGTCCCTCCTATTGTGCTGAAGACGTGTGCTCCGGAGTTGGCACCGGTTTTAACGCGTCTTTTCTGGTACTCCTACTCCCTAGACGTAGTCCCGATGTCATGGAAGACAGCCTTCGTGCACTGATCCGATCCCTAAAAAAGGTAACCGCTTTGATCCTTCCAACTATAGGCCTATCGCCATCACTTCCTCGTTCTCTAAAATAATGGAATCCATTATTAACAGCCAGCTCACGCGGTACCTTGAGGCTCACCAGCTGATTAGTGACCGTCAGTACGGTTTCCATCGCGGTCGCTCGGCTCGGTGATCTTCTGCGTTACCTAAATAATAAATCGGCGAAGGCAGTAGAGTCCAAGGGGAAGGCGTTGGCCGTTAGTTTGGACATAGCGAAAGCCTTCGATCGGGTTCGACACAAAGCGCTTCTTAAGAAGCTTCCTTCCTATGGGCTTCCCGAGAAATTATGCAATTGAATCACCAGTGTTCTTGCAGATCGAAGCATCAAGGTCGCAGTAGAGAGTGCATGCTACGATTACAAGCCCATTAACCCTGGTGTTCTACAAGGTTGCGTGCTATCACCAACGGTGTTTCTTCTGCATATCAATGACATGTTGCAAACCGTTAACATTCATTGCTATGCACATGACAGCACTGGTGACGGTGATGCTTTTCACACCGGGCCGTGCCAGTATTTCTCGGGAAAGCGTCGCCGAGTACCAGGACAAACTTGTGTCAGAAGTCAAGGCTTTGTTATACAAAGTCTCGGAATGGGCGTGAGTAAATCTAGTTCAGTTTAAACCCTGACGACACAAGTTTTCGCGATTACGGCTAAAAGAACCACTTCGTCGTCTCTCCTCAGTTTCAAGGAACTCCCCTTGTTGCCTCAGCTGGTATCGGAATCCTCAGCGTCGACATATCGAGTGACGTGCAGTTTCGTGGTCACCTGGAAGAGAAGAGAAGGCCAAATTGGTCTCTAAAAAGCTTGGCGTGCTCAGCAGAGCGGGACAGTATTTCATGCCGGCTAACCGCCTGCAACTTTACAGGGCACAGGTTCGGCCGCACATGCAATACTGCTCCTATCTCTGGGTGGGGGCTTCCCAGTGCCAGCTCCTTCCATTTGATCGCATCCAGCGCATAGCGGTTCGAATCGTCAGCGAACGAGCTCTTTCCGAATAGCTTGACTCACTGGTACTGCGAAGAGATGTTGCATCTCTTTGCATGTTTTATCGCATCTACCACGGGGAGTGCTCTGAGGAATTGTTCAGACTAATTCCAACCGCACAATTTCATTATCGCACATCGTGACAAAACTCGCGATACCTCAGATATGAGCCGAATGTCAAAAGGCGTAACTTACAAAACCTCAATTTAGATGTGATAACAATATTTAAATATTGATATTATTCACACTTCTAGGTCAGCACATATGTTTTGTTTTTTTTTTGTTTCTTAAATAATATTGTCTGTTGTTCCTATAAACATCGTAAAATCTTACGGTACAACGCGAAAAATGTGTTATATTTTATATTTCAATTTATTATAAGTAACGCAGCAATTCATTTAATAACAGTTTCATATTAAAAAATATTTGAAGCAATACAATCACCATATTGAAGCTTTTGCAAATTCATCCCTTTAAAATAAACAAAACGCACGTTACGTCAGTTCGTTCTAAAAGAAACGTGAAAATGGCAGCCAGAGATGCGTCACAAGCCAGTCCGCATGCACCGAATAAAAATAAAGTTCTTATATATAAAAGAATTATATAATATTGAAAATAAAGTTTTATCTTTTGAATAAGTATGTACTTATTCGGTATCGTTATCACTCGAATCTTTATATGTGTTTTAAATTAATGCTTTTTGTTGTTAAATGAATAAAGTACTTTATAACAATAGATGATTTTTCTTCTACAGTGATCTTTTACATAACTTTTTTAATAATAGTTAATGAATACATATTATATCAATCATTTAAAAAAATCATTATAAATAAAGAAAGTACTACATATAAAAAGCGCCAAAGGTCGTTTAACCAGAGGCTACAAACAAAAGGTTTTTCTCAACCGGTTTGGCACGAACTATAGTATTCTTACAAAACCTATTATATTATTCAACATTTCTTTCATACTCTTCATTTTGTTCATTGTCATACACTGATTTCAACCATATCTATTTTTTTAATATTTCTTTCGTTGGTTTAAAAGAGATACAGTCTCCGTGTTCTTTTATACCTTCTTTTATTGTAATTAAGGCGGATACACGTTTGTTTAGGATCCTGTTCCTTATTTTTCTTTTATTTAAATTTTACTTTTCCCCCTCCCCTCTCAGAAATAAAGGGAGGCCTGTGCACAGCAGTGGCACGTATATAGGCTAACTTTACCAAACAACACACGCCATTTGTTGGCTCCAGAACCTCTGCTTTTCCGGTCTGGTTAGCAAAATCTCTAATTAGCACATTTAGAAAAAAAAACGTAAAGCTTGTGCGAAATGGAACAAATATAACAGCATATCAGACTATGAGATCTTTTCCCAGTATTGAAAGTTATTTAAGGATATGTGTAATAAATGTTTTTCTAAATATATTGGATCGGTCGCGGATAGCATATGCAAAAATATTAAGGATTTCTGGGTATAAATCTCTAATCGTCGTGACAAATCTGGAATACCAGCTAAGGTTGAATATAATGATGATGTTTCAAGTGATCTACAGACAATATGCAATATGTTTTCTGAATTCTTCTCTTCCGTTTACGAACCGCCCTCACCTACACTATCGCAGTGGATACCACCTGCCGATTCAGCATCCCATGACACTACTATTACTAATCTTCATTTTGAAGTAGAAATGGTATTAAGAGAGCTGAAATCCTTGGATCCATCTAAGGGACCAGGCCCTAATGGTTTATCTACTTATTTTCTAAGAAACACCGCCACAGTTACATATGTAAACCCCTAACTATCATCTATAATAAATGCATTACTGAAGGTGTTATGCCCACAGTATGGAAACATGCTAACATCACACCATCAGTAGTGTAGATCAATATCGCCCGATATCAATTTTGTCCACTTTGTCGAAGCTTTTCGAAAGACTTGTGCATAACGAAATATATCCCATACTGCACAATATCATTATACAGCAACAGCATGGTTTCGTTAAACTTCGATCAACAACCACCAATCTATTATTATTTTCCAGCGATTTATTTGAGAATGATGATGATCGCGTGCAGGTCGATGCAGTATATACAGACTTTCGAAAGGCCTTCAATAAGGTGGATCACGAAATGTTACTAAATCGAATAGCTTACAATGGCATTCGTGGTAATTTGTTACCATGGTTTGTTTCTTATATCACTAACCGTTGTCAAAGGTTTGTAATCAATGGATACCACTCTAACGTTACGATGGTTACCTCTGGTGTACCTCAAGGATCTATTCTCGGCCCTTTGTTATTTATAATGTTTATTAATGACATAAGTGACTGTTTTCTCAACTCAACATTTTTATTATATGCAGATGATCATAAAGTTTATAAATCAATCCATACTACACAAGACTGCGTTCTTCTCCAAGAGGACCTAGATAGACCAACAGACTATTGTTACAAAAGTAAGCTTCAGTTAAGCATTCCGAAGTGTAAATATCTCGGTTTTACTAAAAACAAAAATATTATTAAATTTTCGTACTCACTGTGTAACGTTCCTTTAGCTAAAGTGGATTCTATGTGAGTCCTCGGTATACTGTTTGATTAAAAACTGTGCATAGACTTACATATTGAACAAATTGTAAACAAAGCATACAAACTATGTGGATTTATTATGAGATCAACTCGCGACTTCAAACGGACCTTCTTCCTATTTTTGTTAATATAAAATCCTAGTTCGCTCTCAACTTGAATATGTTGTGCCCATTTGGATCCTTATTATAATAAATATGTACACAAAATTGAAAATGTTCAACGCCGGTTTCTACGTGAAATGCATTTTAGATGTCATTAATCTTATTTAAGAAAGAAAGAAAGAAAGAAAGAAAACATTTATTGCTCAAATACGCCACATGTACATTTAAACCATAAACATAAAAAATACATAGTAAAAAGAAAAAAAGAAGAATAAAAAAAATATTAAACACAACATCACACATTTTACGCACACAAGTGTGTGTGGCGTACACGGCAAACAGACCGCACTCAGCTTAATGCCGCAGCCGATACGAGACTACAGCGCTGGTTTTCAGTGGGCCTGTAAATTAAGTGACGTGCGGACGTTCACACCGTCATTGATAGACTAATAATAATTAACATAGATTACATAAATGAACTAACTGGATCTAATACCAAGAATGTCCGAAACATTTTAAAAAGTATTGCTATCACCATAAGAGCCATGTATCTATGAGGTATCAGTTGGAAATAATATAAAAGAAGAAACACTAAATGATGGTAGCCTACAAAAATATTTTCTCACAGGTATGTAATCATAACCATAATCTTAAACAACAATGTTATCATTAGAAACAATATTTTAATAAATCAATAGTGATTGCACGTTAAACATATACTTGTATCATAGTTATTACTAATAGCATGAAAAACACTTTTATTTCAGCCTTTAAGTATCAAAACAAGTACTATGGACTCATATGCTTTCCGTATGACCCCGCCGGATAGCGCTAAGTGTCTGTAATTATTTAGGTAGGTAAATATCAAGCCATAGCTTTTTGAACAATAATTAGGTGAGTTTTATATTTTATTTTAAATGTATTTAATGTTTCCAGACTACGAAGCGGTGGCGGCAGGTTATTCCAGCATTTAGAGGCAGAATATTTGAAACTTCCACGAAAGGCGATGGTACGATGGTAGGGAACAACCAAAGAGTAACATGACGAGCGAGTGATCTTTGATTGTACGTCGCGAGACCACACTAATTTGTGATAAAGATAAGGTGGCACATTATATTTAATTAATCCAAATAGAAATGTGGCTAGGTGGTGTTCTCGCCGATACTGCATTTTTAAAATATTGTGCTCGTTTATGTACGGCGTAACGTGAGCGCGGGGAGGTATTTTAAAACAAAATCTCGCACAAGCATTCTGCACCCTCTGGACAAGTTTCTTGCTACGCACAAGCAGACGAGGGCCATACACTATATCCATATAATTAAATTTAGACAGAATCAAAGAGTCGCACAGTCTTATCCGCATATCGGTATTTAGGCAACTTCTAATTTGATATAATACTTTTAACCTATAAAAACATGTTCTTGCAGTGTTTATTATGTGACTTTCAAAGCGTAACTTATCATCTATCAACAAACCCAAATTACGAGCCTCAGTCACGCGTTCAATTCTTTCGTTCCTTATGGTTACCTTAGCTTCATGTTTTGCTATTTTTTGTATTTGCTGAGCCGTACCTAGAATCATATATTTAGACTTGCTTCCATTAAGGACTAATGCGTTCGAATCTGACCAAGCTGCAATTCTTTCGAGATCGTCATTTAATTTTTCCACCGCTAATTTAGTCCCCCCGGTTTACAAGGTATATAGATCTGTGTATCATCCGCGTACATATGGTATTTGCAATGCTTAATACAATTTGTTATATCCGCACAATACACGGCAAACAAAATAGGTCCTAGGATAGATCCCTGCGGAACGCCTTGTTTGACAGCCTGAGCGTTCGAAATGACTGATAACCCATTTTCGTCTGATATTTCTACTTGCTGTATACGATGCTCGAAATAACTTTCGAACCATTTTATCGCAGATATGTCGAAACCGTAGTAATGTAATTTAGACAAAAGCAATGGCACATTAAGACAGTCGAATGCTCTGGAAAAGTCAAGCAAGGCTAAAATCGTTCCTTTGCCACTGTCTATATCTGATAGTATATCGTCGACAACATTTATCATAGCGGTTGACGTACTGTGGTGTTTTCTAAACCCTGACTGAAAACTGGGAAGCACATCGTTAGTTTCTAAGTATATTCTTACCTGCTCAGCCACGACTTTCTCCAAGATTTTTGATACACAGGGGAGTATACTAATCGGGCGTATGTCCTTCATGCTAATAGGATTTGAGTTTTTGGGTATAGGCCTGATGAGTGCGTGCTGCCATTCTGAGGGATATGTTTGCGTTGTAATTGATTTATTAATTATCTCCGTAATAACAGGTATTGTTACGGGAAAAGACATTTTCAACATATCCAAGGATATACCGTCTGCACCTACCGCATTTGACTTTAATGACTGTGTTATTTTCACAATGTCACTTTCCTCAATTGTCTTCAGTTTGAATACATTTGAGACTTTGACGTGTGATTTAAAGAATGTCATATATGAAATAGGGACTTGATTATTTCCGGGCACATTTAAAAAGCTTGTATTAATCAAATCGGGGTCTTTGAAAATATGGTAAGGCAGGTCCGGCTTAGTTTTTAACCTAACGTTTTTTTTTATATGTGACCATACGATGCGATTATCTTTTTGATTATTTATAAAAAAATTGTAGTAAGCTTTCTTTTCTCTTATTAATGCTTGTGCAACATAGTGTTTGAGCTCTTTATAAAGTAATTTTTGGGCTGCTGTACCACCTGACTTACGTGCGACAACACCTGCTTCATCTCTGACTTTCATCATTTTTTTTATATTATAAGTAATCCAAGGATATTGGAAGTGTTTTAATGATTTTCTGCGTACGGGCGCATGAATGTTAAATAATGTTTTCAACATAGTATTAAACAATGATACCATGTCATTGACGCTATCCAATGTTTTGAAACGTGTCCAATTTAAAGACTTTAAATCTAATAGAAACTGTTCATTATCAATCGCATGCAAATTTCTACGCGATATAATAATCGGTTTCGGTTTGGGTTTTGTTATATTTAATTCGCAGCAAATAAATGCATGACCGCTTAGTTCCGGTATATGATTCACAGAAGTGGATGATTGTTGAATATCTGTACATACTAGGTCTATTAAAGTTTCACTGTATTCCGTGAAGTGGGTAGGCTCAGTAACACACTGATTTAATTTATAACATTGTAAAAAAATTTTCAACTTCTTACAGTTATTATCCATATCATTTAATAAATTTATATTGAAATCGCCTAATAAAACTACATTATTACACCATGATAATGCCGATAGTTTCCGATAAAGCATCGAAAAAAATGTCAACACTCAACCACGGCGGTCTGTAAGCAGTACCAATTATTAATTTTGTACCGTTGACTGTTAGTGCAAGCCACATTTGCTCTACGAGTGGGGCTGGGGGGTGCGGTAGCGTGCGGACTGCAATGCCCTGACGTATGTAGAAGCCCACTCCACCTCCGCGCGAGCGCAAGTCGGAAGGGCGAGGAACATGACGTAATCTATAACCGGGCACCGCAGGCGAGCGCCCCTCTTCGCCCTCTCGCAACCAGGTTTCATTAATCGCCATTATGTCGACAGGATAACGATCCATAGCTACGAGAAATTCGTCACGTCCTGTACCAAGCGATCCCACATTAAGTAAGCCTAACTTAAGATTATGTTTAGAATTGAATGAATGAGATAAAAGTCAAAAATACCATACTTGTGCAGCAACGTAGTGAGAAAAGATACTTACGATGAGTGCTCTTAAGATTATGATACGCTAATATACTTTTTATGAAGCTCAATGTTTTAAAAATATATACAATGTAATTAATCATCAATAGAATAGAATTATTATTATTATAACTTAAATATTTTCCCTTAAAATAACTGAAATATATAACTGTTTTAACACGAATTAATGGTTTTAATTGTAAATAATTATAAGTAAACATGAAAGTAGTAATTAGAAACTCGGCCCTTACCATCGTACCATCATAGACATAACAGCTGTAAATGTTTGTATACATAACATTATGAAT